AAAGGGGAGGGGTAATAGTTTTGGTTACATCTTTATGTTCTTTATTTTATATTTTCAAGAAATTATGAGTATTTATGCTTTTCTATGCCCTGGAAGATAGATCTTTCAACATCTTACCCATTTTTCTTTATGTTATTTTAATCCCCAAATTGGAAGGCTTGATACTATTGGTGTGCCTTGATCTCCCTAATTCCAGGAAAATTCCTAGAAATGATGGACTTATCTTAACTTCCAACTTTTGCTAGCATCCAAATTTGCTTTGATGCGGTCACATGAACAACTGAAGAAGACTCAGGAGAACCTAAGTGAACAAAATACTGGGACCTTTGTTGTCCCTTCACTGTCCCTCATTGTTTTCATAAGCTCTCACACACTGGCTATTTATCATCCAAAAGTTTATACTTGAGAACTACTTTGTTGCCACTCACTACTCTTCCTTTAATGAAAATCACATGAGCAACACAGCACTTTCTCTATGATATCTCCTGAAGGCTAAGAGGTTGGCTGGTAGCCTTCTGACTGCATATGCCTCTTAGGAGTTAACAACCAAGGTTAAGAGCAAATATTAGCCAGTAAGTTGTCTTGTTCAGAGGTCAGCACAAGGACCAGTTTGGAATAGGTGAGTTGAATGATGCCCTCCCACTAGCCACCGTTTTCCTTACTGTTCCGAGTGCCTGCCCACATTTTTCCCAGGACACCTCTCAAAGGATTTTAAATAAAGATGCTTTTTTGTGCACCATCTGGCAGCTTCCTGGAAAGCAGCAGTGCAAGATGTCCCTACTCACAAAGATTGATTCGATTCCCAGAGGAACTTTTTCAGAGCTGGTCATTTACAGCAAGATGCTCACCATGGGCCAAACTTGCTTTTAGGCTGCCCACGCTGAAATGCACTGACCACCAACGTTTTGGAGATCATTAGCCTGATTCTCAAGTGCCAAGTGATAAAAGATTAACCACGATAACATTGAAGTCAAATGCAAAAGAGCTTGGGTTAGGGTGTCCATCCTCATAAGATGGACATCTAGCAGTGCAGTCTTTAGCAATTGTATGTGGTACCTCACATCGCACATGCCATGGGACCTAGGAACAGAGATGACAAAGGCCCATAGCTTACAGACAAATACACTGTGTTTTGGTTTGAAGATTACTGGAATAAAAGGTGAAAATAAAGATGGAAGCCTAAACTAACAATTCCAGAGAGACAGCCTAGCCGAAGTGAAGGCATTCATTTGAGGGACATAAACACTCATCATTTCTTCAAGATGAATGGTGTGGTGAAGAACGCATTCAGTTTGAGAAGGCTGATGAAGGGATGAAGGAGGGAAATGGAGAAGAGACTTGAGCAACAGGTACAGCTAGAGCAGTGGTCAGCTGGTAGCTGTGGGAACGTTACAGTGGTGGGTACAAGTCTGTCATCCTGTAAACAAGGAAAGGACCAGAATCTGAAAAGCTTAAGGAGATAATAGAATAAAAGAATGAAGTGGAGGGTAGTGAGTGATAACATTCAATTAGTCAACTAGGAAAAAGACTAAAGCAATGACTCCTGAGTTACCGGGGTAAGTTTCAAAATAAGGATCAGTCAATTGTGTCAAATATCTCAGAAAAAGAGAAGTGAAGATGAGAACAGAGAAATGTTCCTGGGATTGGAAAGTTGAGAAACTGTTACTAAACTTGACCAGAGCTGTGGACAGACTGTTAAAGGCAGTGTTGCATGAGGGGTGTAGAATTGTTTGAGGAGCCATTTACTCATTCACCCTATATAACATTAGCAGAACTTTGTAAATCACATTGGCTGAGAAACTAAAATATTTATCCAGTGACCAGTCTCAGCATTTCTACAGAAATATTCATGCTATTTACAAGAGATAGTTTTTGGTCAACTTGCCCAAAATATTCATAATCCAGTAAGCTTGTACACCTGGAGTCCTGGTGATGTGTACAGTTTTCAGAGAACTCTGGTGCATGACCTTAACCCTTTGTTTTCTGTAAACATGGAGATATCTGGAGCATGTAAGAAAATATACTGAGGGACTGAGTTAAAGGCAATTAGGAATGAAGTAGCTTATTAGCAACTACCTAAAAATATAACAATATTTCATCAAAGACAAAACTAATCACACAGATAATTTCCCCTTTTCTTTGTTTTGTTTTTTTTTTCTTTTGATTGTTGTTTTGTTTTGTTTCACAATGCTGGAAAGTGCACCCAGAGCCTTTCAAATTTTAGCAAGCACTTAAGTACTCCAAAACTAAATAATATACCTACACACACACAAATTACTTTACTTTAAAGTTGCACTCAAGTGCTGTTAAAAACACTCTAACCAAAGAAATTTAGAGGAGGGAAGGATTTCCTGGTCTTACTCTTCTAGGTCACAGACCATTGAGGGATGTCAGAGCAGGTACTCAGTCAGGAGCATTAACTCTGCTTTCTGTATCATGCTTAGCTAGCGTTCTTCCATAGTCAAGAACCACCTGCATAGGGAATGAGGCTACTCACAGTGGAGTTAGCCCACCTGCATCAGATAATAATCAAAGTAATCCCACAAAGGCCAATATGATCAAGGAAAACATTCAATTAAGACCCCCTTCTTAGATGACTCTAGGCTATACTAAGTTGACAATAAAAGCCAACAAAGGACAAAAGTTATTAAGGATTTTTTAAAAATGATCTTTAAATGATAGAACCAGTGTGCCTTTCATTCAACATAGACACTATGAATCTATTTTTGCATTCTTTCACAACTGATACTGTTTAGACAATAAAAACCTTCAGATGGGCAAAGGTCCCATACCCTGTAACTTTAAATTACATTGGCATAAATGAATTGTGTATATCAAAAGTAACTGACAGGGCTGGATGGATAGATAAAATGTAGCAGAATGCTTACCAACAAACATGAGACACAGGATGTGCTACCCTGAGCCATAGCACCAAACAATAGGTAAATAAATGACAACTAGTAATAATTGCTAACATTAAACAACAGTATGTCAGGAGGTGAGAGTAAGGGGAGCGCTAGAACAGACTGCTTGGGAGGAGGGGAATTTTAGTGTTAGGTAAAAACCTGATTCAAATAAATCCCCTGGAAATCTACAAAGATGACCCCAGCTAAGTTTCTTAGCAATAGCTGATACATATCCTGAACTGGCCATCTCCTGTGACCAGGCAAGACTTCAAGTGGGGGAAATAGGAAAACAACCCAGCCACATAACCTTCAACCTACAGTCTGTTCTACCTATAGGGTGTGCTTGGGTAAGGGTTGCCTAGAGATTGAGTGAGTGGCCAACCAATGACTGGTCTAGTCTAAAATCCATACCAGGACAGTAAGCGCACCCCTGACATTGCCCAGAGCACCAAGACCAATAGCTGGATACATCCAAACATGACCTGAGGTGAAAAAAGTTATCAATGTAATGCTACCTAATAATAGTCTGCTATACTCATAGGTGGTGGCCTAGCCCAAATGCCATCAGGGATACTCCATTCAGCAACAGACAGAAACAGACGAAGACCCATAGCCACACATTGGGTGGAGCTCAGGGGAGATTGAGGAAAGATCTTAGGAGCCAGAGGGGTCAAGGACACCACAAGAAAACCCATAGAACCAACTAACCTGGGTCCATAAGGGCCAACAGAGACAACCAATTATCCGCGAACCTTCAGGGGACTGACCTAGTAACCCATGTATGTTACAGTTATGTAGCTTGGTCCTCTTGTGGGACACCTAACAGCAGAAGCAGGGCTGTCTCTGACTCTTTTACTGGCCTTTGGAACCGTACTCCTCATCTTACCCAGCCTTAATACACAGGGAGGTGCTTAGTCTTGCAGCAACTTGATATGCCATGTTTTGTTGATACTCATGGGAGACCTGCTCTTTCCTGAACAGAAATGGAGAAAGAATGGCTTGGGAGTGGGAACAGAGGTGTGTGGAGTGGGGGCAGGAGGAGAGCAGGGAGGAAGACTATACTGGGATATAAACTACAAAATAAAATCTAAAAAAGAAAAACAAAAATATCAAAAAAAATCAATAGTATGACAAAGTTTAGGAAGCAGAACAAGGAGTAATCAAGATGTCATATTATTTAGAAGTAAAACCCTCATAAATGGGAATTCTTTGTAAATATATTGGCACTTTTTATTCATCTCCATGGACGTATTTTTCTCTAGGTCAACCAAAATGGGATTTTCAAGTCACTTTACAGAAGGCCAGCTCTTAACTAAAGGCCAAGAGACCAGAATCCCATGTCTTTCCACTGTTTCCTGCTGGGACTCTGGAAAAGTCATTTGCCTTTTTCCTGGTCTCAATGGCTTTCTCTATAAGACTATTTGGTTACTAATATCTTCACCAGTCCCAGGGTCTGACCTTCCAATCCTAAAATTCTAAGGTCTCCTGGTTGAACAATAAGACCAGCATTACCATATTTTCAAAAGAGAGAGAGAGAGAGAGATGAAGAATTACCTCCTGAGTTCTAGCAGCAGCATCATGAAGAGCAAATACCTCTTATGTACCTCTTAATACATGACCAGGGCTTAACTCTTCACAGAATAACCATCCACTTGCCTGTCCCTTTCTCACTATTCATCAATGACAGTGTCAGTGCACACCAACTAAAGCCATTTAAAAGGAAGTAAATACATTTGAATTAGTGAGTATGTAATCTGAATATGATAACGATGAACTTATTTGGTTGATGTAACACTGAATGGCGTTTCTAGCTCAACCTACAGTTTCAAAATAGCATTGAGATTGTGCCAATAGTATAAGAAAATACTTTTTGTCTTTTGTGATAAGACCCAGTTTATCAAAACAACAAATATAAATGATGATTGGCTCAGTTCTTTAACTTTTAGAAATCAGAATAGATAAAAGAGATAATTTTCAGTGAGTGAATTAGTCTTATTCATATAACAGATTTTGTGTTACTAGTAATGTATTATAGTGTACATTTCAGTTCATACTTTCTTCATCTTTATTTGCTAGAGAAGAATATTCTTTTTTAAAAAAATGGAATGCTTCGTAAATTTGCATGTTATCCTTGAGCAGGCCATACTAATCTCTGTATTGTTCTAATTTTATTATATGTGCTGTGGAAGCGAACACAAAGAGAATTTTCTTATAAAGTCCATCATTCTAAGCAAAGGAGACTGAGAAATGCTAATAAATAAGACAAAACAAAACAGTGTAACAAATTAAATCCATCATTAAATCTCAGAAGTATGCATATTTTCTATGTGAAGTAGGCATTCCTATTGTAGTTGGTTTGTTGTTTGCTTCTGGTCATTTTTCTTTCAAGAGAGGAAGTTTGAGCCTTTTCTACTGAACTTAAAGAATATTCACATGTTATTTGAAAATAACAATAATAATAGTTAATAATCTCATAACTATTTCTAAGGGTATAATTAGAAGTACATGCAAGGGTTTGGAATACCCAAAACACAAAACTAGAGTTATTTTTCATGGCCATAAATTTTATTAATTATCACTTTTCCTTGCAAAAAAAAATCACTCTCCATGCCCCTTATTTCTCTTAGTACTGGGGGTGGATGGGTAAATTGAATCCCTTCCTTAACATAAAAGAAGCTTCCATTTTATATTCAGAATCTAAAAATGACAAGACAAAAATATCAAGCTTAAAAGTACCCACATAACTGTTATCCAAAGAAGACAAGCAAATAGTCCCTCAAATTTTTAATAAACAAAAAGAAATGCATCAAGCCATGCTGGACCAAGTAAAGGCCCTCAGATGTAGAACAAGATTTGTGGGCAAATTCGACAGATTCAGAGCAGAAAGTAAATGTTCCTATTCATAATCAAAGGATTCAGGACAGAGCTCCATCTGTCATATTGTTCTCCCTCCTGTATTTATTGCCAGCAAGTTAAATAAGAACAGCACCTTAGACTCTTACTGTCTTTCCAGCTTCCGTGGGAAGATGTTAATTTGGGTTTTAAATTCTTTCTTATGTCTATCCCTCTGGCTCCCAACCCCAGTTGCCTGTTCCTACCAAGTGTCTGTTGGGACCTGATGATCATCCAAACTTCTTTTGATACTTCAGGAAGCTGGCTCTTTACATGAATGCTGAACAAATGTTTTTGAAGTCAATGTTATTGGAGATGGATGGAGAACAGGACACTAGCTGCATTAACAGCAGAGTGACCTGCAGGAGTCAGAAACAACCCTCTACTTGTGATCACTGGGACCAATATTGGTCTTTGTAAATTAACAGAATGGAGAGATTTTGGAGGAGCTATGAAAGCCTGAAAAATTATTACATATAATAAGGAATATGAAAAAGCATTATTTAGAGAAAAGATGAGTCAACATGGTACTGGGATTATGTAGACAGGAAAGAAAACAGCTATGAAGACATTTAATAAGAAAGTAATACAGTGAGTGAAAATTACAACTAAACATCCCTGATGCTGACCAGGGGAACAATTGATGGAAATATATTAAAATTAGAATAGCAAGAAGAGAGCTTTGTTAGACATAAGGAATAAAATCCTGGCCTTGATATTGAAATTTTGAAATACACTGCCAAAAAAAAAAAGTTGCAAGATTTCCTGGAAGAATCAATAACAGTCTGAACTAATTGATGAAGATACTCTTCTGTTGCAAGAAAAAAAGGCTTAAATCAGATAACTTTGTGAAGTTCCAATTCTAAGGGATATCTATAAGACTTTAGCAGTGACCATATGAAAGTTTCTAAGCCCAAAGCATTTTATTTATAAAAATATTATGTCACTGACATAATTGAAAATGTCAGCACTTTGCACAAAATACTTTTTATCATTATTTTATGATGTGACTCTTAATCTGTTGCCTTCTCCTTTAGCTTTCCAAACTTTCTTAATTAACACAGTGTTCCTCATGGCCCCAACTGGGCTGTGAACAGAGCTTGCTATAACAGAGCTTGTTCATTTTGAATGTAGACTTTTAACAATCAAGGAAGACAGTTTCTGTGCCTTCTCTCCCCACTCAAAATTTTTCTAAAACTCTGTGAAACAAAGAAAGAAGAAGCATATTCACCCCCATTCCAAATGTGGTCATTGTGACTCTTTATAGCACTGGCTTCTAGAAACAGCAGCCTCCTCATTACCTATTTTGCATGAACAGTTACAGTAGCACTTGTTGGCAGCTGTCAGGCCATGAGTCTAAGTCTTCAGAATTTTTGGTTTATTTCCACTTCAGTGAAGGATAGGGGATTCCTAAGATCCCATTGGTCAAGGTTTTATCCTTTAATATTAGCAACTTTTCTCACTCTAATGGCCTCTTTCCTGATTCCAGAGTCATAGCAGATATTCTCTACAGCTTTCACAGTCAAAAGAAGCAATAGTCACTTCCATAACTATCTTAGATGAGGCAACATAGATGACAATTCCTGTTCTGATTTGTCTAAGACATCCTGTTTTTCTCAAGGCACAATCTACACAAGAAGCTGATCTGAAGGTCTTATTCCTACCCTGTGCCTGTTCAGTGATGGGAGATGTCATTTTTTTAAATATGTTTTCATACTGGTTAATGAATAAAACACTGTTGGCCAATAGGAAAGCAAGATAGGCGGGACTAGGAGACAAGGAGGATTCGAGGAAGTAGTAAGGAGGAGTCAAGATGGAAGACAGAGAGAGCAGAATGCCAGTGGCCTCTGTCTCTGGTAAGATAAGACTACATGGAAGTACTTAGATTAACAGAAATGGATTAATACTTAAGACAGAACTAGCTGATAAAAAACTATTACCTGGCCAACAGTATTATATCAAATACAGTGTCTCAGTGTGATATTTGGAACTGGCATGGCGGTGGGACCAGGCGGGCTAGCGAAAAAAAATTTACTCCTTATAGTTCAGTGTCAATCAGAACGAAGGCAGAGCTGTGTCTGGACCCACTAATGCTTGTCTTGGTAACTGACAGAAAAAAAAGACAATTAGGAGGCCATGTACAAGTGGATTCCTTCCCGTTCATCAACACCACCATTCCTTTTCATAAAGCACATGCTACTCCACTTTGGCAATAAATATAATGAGAAATATCATTGCTTATACAAAGGTCCAAGTCATTAGGTTATGTTGAACACCTTGACAAACATCTGACAATTTTAAATTATAGAAGAACAGTTAACCCAGGCACAGTTCCCAGACAATGCTATTCCTTTTAGGTAGTCCTGTCTTGCCCTTCTGAGTAAGGAATCTGAGAAGAACAAATGGATAGTTGTTGAAACATACTCATTAAAAATCTCACCTACAACCACAGTTATCTTTACAGTGCTCGGTTGCCTATTAAGTTTCTTAGTTCTTTGGTCCCCCATAAGACTTTACTAGAGCCAACTTGCAGCATCCTTCTATACTCTTCACATTGTCCCTTTTCATCAGGTAAAGTATAACCTCTTAGAGACTTGTACACCTCACCCATTTCCAAATCCTCCTCCAAGTTCTAGTATGCACTGGTTTAACAGTCCCACCTAAATAGATATGTAGTCACATTAGCTTGGACAAATTACACTTGGACATGCTGAACATCACTTCCTCTGAACTGGCTATTAGTTGGGGACCTTTATAGCTGACATCAAGTCCAACAATGTCTAGGGATATACTGTCTAATGTTCATGTAAAAACTTAGACATACTTTCAATGCAAAATGTATAACCTAAATGGGCATCAGGAAGCCAAATAGACACAAGGAATAAAAGCCCAGGGATGGCTGACATATTACCTATCTGCTTCATAACGCATAGAACATACCACCTGGACAGACATCACTTAGCTCCTCAGATATTAAACTTTTTCAGAATGTCGTTTACGTAGAAAAGTTCATTGCCTGTGTTATGAAGTCCTTCTTGATCCTCTAACAGTTTGTACTATTCTTTTCTAAGAACTGTAACTCATCATTTAAGTGTGACAAGAACTTCAAAAGTTTCCAGCTCCACATTAAAAAAATAAATATCTGTTTCCTGTATATTGTTTCCTTTGGTAACTTGGGCCCTTTTAGATCCTGAGGCTTTAGAAAAAAAAAATTGAACTATATAAAGCAAATAAGCTCAAACTCAAACAAGAATTATAATTTAAAATGTAAAAATAAATACATATATCTCTCCCTAATTATATAACACATGACTCCTTTTCAGACCAATTTCCTTCATAACAATAAAACAATGTTACATCTCTGTTATAACCTTCTAGGTATCCATTTTCTGTATCTAGTATCAAATGCTATACATTCAATAACTCTACTGTAGAGTGCCCAAAATGAAAGTCACTTTATTTGTACAGGAAACCAACTGTTTTAGTGGAAATAAAACCAATGGTTCTTCCACTTTCACAGCTGGATTACTAATGCACGCTCCCTCGGATGACCCTGCTCATATAACCCTGTGATTCGTGACTGCTGTTGGCTATCAGCTGTGCGACCAAATCATCTCCATTTTCAAAGAGTCTAATTTAAATCCCCTGATGGGAAGTTTAATCAAAGTGCTATATCTCAAAGACCACAGTCAAGAGGGATGGGGCACGTCATTGCATTCAAACATTTCAAATAATCTACTACATCCCTAGATATCATGTATTCCCTATTGTTCAATTCAAAGTATTTTCTAATTTCCATGTTTATACATTCGAGTGTGTTATATTTCAAATACATGTGGCACAACTTTCCAGTATTTCAGGATTTTCTCGAGGTAATGAGTTCCAATTCAGTTTTCTGTGATCAAAGAACATGAGCAATACCTGCAGCCCTTAGGATTTTATATGCACGTGACTGACAGCCTTGCATAGGGTCTATTTTGGCGAAGGCTGCGGAGTACACAGTACAAAGACTGTGTACTCTGCATTGATTTATTTACTACTTTATAAACTGCAAGTAAATCACTTCAATTAATAGTGACATTCAAATGTGTCTAAATATATTAAGGTATTGTCTATCATATATAAAAGTTACCCACAAAATGAATGTCTGTCAAGGTTCTACAAAGAAGCAGAAGCAATAGAACATGCACACATAGCCTACTTAGAACAGCATGAACTCTATGGTTGATCATGTCTGTTCCAGTCCATTTCCAAAAGCCTAAGCAGTGATGGTACAAGTCCAGACAAGGAGAGTGCACTCTTCC